TGCCACCAAGAAGAAAATTTAAACAAGTAAATCTACCAAGTCAAGCAAGAAAAGAAAGCCCATTGGTTGATCAAGTTCATCTTTGATTTTTCAACTTCTAGAGGAGGAATTCAAGTTGTATTTGTCAAATGATAAACCGCCTTACAAAATCTATAAATAGGCCTTAGGATGTGTTCATTATATATGTATGTATATTTTAATGAACTAAGTGAGGATTTGTGATAGATAGAGTTTGTTCTTTTGAGAGAGAGAGAGTTTGAAATTCTTTGTAACTCCTATTTGAAACTCATCTTGTAAACCTCTATTCTTATTTCTTAGTAGAGTCGCATTATTCCTTAGTGAAATCTATATCCAAGTTTTGCTATTTTCATTATCCTGGGCAAATTCTTACCTAACAAGTAACATAAACTTACCATACTTACCACTGCTATAAAAGAAACATATTTGCTATTTCGGTTTACAGTTCATTTGTTTTTGGAACAATTTATAGGCTGTAGCACAGAGACTAGAGTTTAATGGACTGAGTAATTAATATTTCAATGTATACATGACTCATAATAGGCAGTATTCTTGTCTGATACCATGTGCATATTAGTATCTTGAGTTGAAGAATATATCTTCTAAACTTGTGTATATTGAAAGTTCATACTTGACAGGGTATAAAACTCTAGAAGAGCTTGCCTCTTTCTTTGTGTTCTTGTGCTTTTGTGTGTGCCTTTCGGTCTAGACCCATGATGATATTTCATACCAAACCGGTGCTTTCTCTGATTGATTGGGTAAGCTTCCTTATCTGATTGGCAATCTAATATTCTGCTGCTTCATTTTGCTTCCGTAGCATTTTGCTACCATTATTTGACAGTTGGAATGTAGTGTTCGAAGTTATGTAGTGCATCTGTTATGGCTCATTGGCTTATTTATTTGCCAATATCAATGCAGATAAACCACAATGCATGAATGATACCAATAAAATGAGAGAGGATATGTTGATACCCAATCAGCCTATATAAGCAAATTTTGAAACTCTTTAAGAACTTAGATAATTACTGTAAGTGTGATGCACCAATGTGGAATGTAAGCTCAAGGCATCAGATCATATTGACTTTAGAGTGTTTTGGCAAAAGAAATCATTCCCTTTTCCAATTCTCCGTGAGCCACCAAGAATACATAGTTCTACTCAAGTTTATGACATTAAGTGAAGTTTTTCTACAAAAGCTCTTCCTAATGTTTGAATAGCTTATAGATCAAGTATCCTAGGAAAATAATGAATGCTGTGTCTAGTTTGTGAAAAATAGATTCTGAATTTTCGTGAGAAAATTTTTAGTACTCTCAGAGTATGAAACTTTTACGATCTAATTGACATGTGTATGTTTGCTACTAATCATTTTTTCGTTCAACTAACTTGTGATGCGTTTTGAGTGAACTTTGTTTGAAAAGTATACAAGCATTCTGAGTATGGACCTTTTTCTTTTCGGCCACAAAAATTCTATATAGACAGGACTATTGGGTAGGCAACTGGCATACTTTTGCCCTACTGACTGACTATTCCTTTAAAATAGAAATAACTAACATAAACCAGATGTCTGTCATGGGTAAATTGTTGCGAACATTGATCTTACCTATTCACTGAAGCAGATATGTGTGTTTTTATCTCTCCGACTAGTATACTTCATGGAGTCTGAATCCCTTCAGTTTGATGCAACTGCAGCTGATTCAGGGATCTTGTAGCGCTAATTTAAGCCTTTGATAATATTATCATGTTCAACTTGCTAATTTTATGAAGCCAATTTCTGGGTCTGGGAGATGCATTTAGCTTTTCTACGATCTGTAAGGATCAAAGGCATTCTTTGCTATGAGATAAATAACTGAAATGAAATAACCAAGGTTGAATGGAGAGCTTCCTCCGAAATTGGTTTACTGCATTTTTAAATGTTGGACTAAAGTTCTGGTTGGCGGATGTTATGCATAGATGAATTTAATGTTTTATTTATTTTGAATTAGTCTAGTGTTGTCGTTAACTCGTTCTGGGTTGAAATGAGTAGTTTTTAATATTTTAATTATGTTAGTTTTAGGCAGTATTCTAAAAACGCCCCCCTTGTTGTTTTTTTTCCGCCATTTTTTACACTTTTTTAATTATTAAATAATTTTTAGATTTATTTAAAATAATATTAAAATAATTTTATTTATTTATTATTATTATTATTATTTTTTAGCCTCACTCGAAGTTTAGGCTCCACATCTATCTAAGTTTAACGTTTTTAAGTTTTTAGGGCATCTCCAATGGATGTCCTATTACACCAAGTTGCACTAAGAATTGGTGCAAACCTTCCTCCAACCATTGTACCATTTTGGTGCAAAATACAAAAATGGTGTAAGATGAATGTGGAACACTGTTCATTGCACCATTTTTTACACCAAATGGGGTAATGTCCGTTTTGTCCTTATTTTTTATTTTTCAAAAATAATGATTAAGGGTATTTGTGTCATTTTCATTCCATAATAATGATGATGATGATAATGATGATGATAATAATTAATTACAATATTAATTATATTATTAAAGTTTATTATTTTTAATAACATAATCAATAATAATTAAGGATTTTTTAATTTAGTAATTATTTCTATAAATTTAACGTAATTGTTTATCATGAATATAATCAATTATTTTCTTCAATTTAACATAATATATAAAACATGTGAATAATTTAGTAATTCATCATTTTTAAATTTTTCTCTCACATGTAGGACCTACTTTATCTCTAACGGTCAAAAAATTAATTAACAAAATCTATACCGAACAAACACTTAGTAATTTATATAGTTATAAATAATTAAATAAATAAATACGTTATAAAAAATCGAAAGAATGAATAAAATAATAAAATGCTGTTCATTTGGTATAAATTTTGATGTAATAGTTGGAGAAAAATTTTTGTTTGATACAAAATTTGATGCAAAATTTAATACAACGTTGGATATAACCTTATAACACCGATTTTAAGAGAGACGCGATAGTGTCGTGGAGCCCAGTTGTGCTATGCAATTTCAGGAGTGGATGATGAAGATGACATGTGGATAATGAAGAACCAAACCCCATCCAAAGTGCAGAATCCCATCATCACAGCAGCATCACACAGAAACAAGTACCTTCCTCTGCCAAATGAATCTCACTGCACTTTCTTTTCCTTTCTCATTCCACTCATACTCCTCTTCCTCCCATATAAAATGTATCAGTTCAAGACCACCAAATGCTTCCTCACAGCAAATCTCCCTAGACTCTCCTCCACCCAACAACAACCACCCAAGTTCTCCCCCATCAACCGGAGTCGTCGTCATTGGCGCTGGGCTAGCCGGTTTGGCCGCTGCGACTCGGCTTCAAGCTGAGAAGATCCCATTCCTCCTCCTCGATGCATCGGACGCTGTCGGTGGCCGTGTACGCACCGATTTCGTCGACGGCTTCATTCTTGATCGTGGGTTTCAAATTTTCATCACTGCTTATCCTCAAGCGCAAAAACTTTTAGATTACCGAAGTTTGAATCTTCAGAAGTTCTACTCTGGGGCGCAGGTTTACTACGATGGTGGATTTCACGTTGTAGCCGACCCACTACGTCATTTTTCGGATTCTTTACAAAGTTTGGCAAACCCCATTGGTAGTGTTGTTGATAAAATATTGATTGGGTTGACTAGAATTAGGGTTTTGACACAGTCGGATGACGAGATTTTGACTGCCAAGGAGGTGAAGACGATTGATTTGTTGAGGAAAATTGGATTCTCTGATTCGATTATGGACCGATTTTTTCGACCCTTTTTTGGTGGGATTTTCTTTGATAGAGAACTGGAAACGACGTCGCGTCTTTTCAATTTTATATTCAAATGTCTGGCTCTCGGAGATAACACCCTCCCGGCGAACGGCATTGCCGCAATTCCCGAACAATTGGCGGGTAAACTGGACCCTAATTCAGTTCTGCTGAATTCGAGGGTAGTTACGATAAATCAGGAGTCGGAGGAGGGTATAACTGTAAGTTTGCAAAATGGGGAGGTCATCAGGAGCGAACTTGGACTGATATTGGCAGTTGAAGAATTCGAAGCTGTTAAGATTTTGGCAGGGAAATGGGATCCAGGCAGGATGAAGAAGCCTGTTCGGAGCACAGTTTGTTTATATTTCTCGATGGATAGTGAAAAGGTCCCAGTCAAAGACCCTGTTTTGTTCTTAAATGGCTCGAGTCGAGGGATTGTAAATAATATGTTTTTCGCGACCAATGTTGCCCAGTCGTATGCCCCACCTGGCAAGGCATTGGTGTCAGTGTCACTTATTGGGCTGTACGATGATGTGTCGGATGAAGAGTTGGTGGAGAGGGTGGTGAAGGAGATGTCGGGGTGGTTTGGGGAGGCAGTGGTTGGTTCGTGGAGTTATTTGAGGCTGTATAGGATCGCATTTGCCCAGCCAAACCAATGCCCGCCCACGGATTTGAGGAAGAACCCGAGAGTCTATCCCGGATTGTACATATGTGGAGATTATGTAACTAGTGCCACATTCGATGGAGCTTTGGTTTCAGGATGGAGAGCAGTCGAAGCTTTGTTGAAAGATAAGGCCCTGGTTAAAGTATAATTCAAACCATTTTCCTTTGATTTGCTGTTTATATTTGTACCTGTAACATGATGATTCATGTAATCTTCATAATTCACATAATGATTATCAATTCTTTCTGACTAGGGGATCATAGTTTTGCATGCAAAAATAGTTGATATTCTTTTGATTTTCCTTTGGTTGCTTAATCATAGTGTGGTATGAGAAATAGATATCAAGAACTTGTACTTATCTGATTGAACTAAATTATCGGCGAGTGATCTTTCTTGGGAATTTGAAGGGTAATCGTACTAGCTAGCTGTTACCATTCCAAAGAGGTTGCCATGAGTAGTGTTCCATCTAGCAACGGTAACTTTGCTAACTGTTCAGTCGGTATTCCTCTTCTGGGAATGCTATTTCTGGCGAAGGAACTTCAATAGTATCGAATGGATTTGATTAATGAGGTTGCAAAAGGAAATGCAGTTCTGAATTGGGTACCAGAAGCTAATCTGCTCTGAAAACATCTCAAATTAGATGCATCACTTGGCCTAGAAATCATGATCTCTAGTCAGTGTTTTTATACAAACAGCCTGCCTTGTCAAGCTACCTGAGCATCGAGGAAAATAAAAATCTACCTGATTAGTCAAATTACATCGATAATACCTGTCTGTGAACATGCTTTCTCTATGAAGATACAGGTAAAACATTTATTAGTTTCAATGGAAGAGTTAAGAGTTACTGGATTTACCTTTTCAAATGCTGAACTCTTGTAGGATATTTGCTAATTTCTTGTGCTGTTGTGATAATGTTGAAGCTAAAGCTAGAGGCAGAATGATTTGTGCACCTCTCAAGCTGGTCGGCCTTATTGAAGCTTACTAAGCTTCTGTCTGGAGAGGTAATACTTCTCTTGACAGAATGAAGTATATGAAAGCAGTGGCGAATCTAGGATCCAAGTCCAGCTAGAACGAATTGACCGTTGACCGTTGACCGTTGACCATCAACGATCGTAACAGTCCGATCATTTATTAAAATTTGATTACATAATATTAAAAGTTATTCAATATATATGTAAATGACCTAAAACGTCAAAATCGTATACATATGAAAATATACTTTGATACAACCCAAAATAGTAAAAAAATATACGATACAACCTTACTCAGTTACTCTATAACTGTAAACTTAGACAACTGCATTCTACGGGGTCTCGTGATTTGAAAACGTTGCAATATTGCCTCATTCTCAAGTTTTTTAAAAATAGCTTTCTCCATGTAAATCACCAAATTGTCATTCAACCAGTTATCTCCCATTTTATTGTGCAAATCACTCTTGATTAGATTCATAGTAGAAAATACCCTTTCAACACTTGCAGTTGCCACAGGTAATATCAAAGCCAAGGTGAGCAGCCTATAAACCAATGGAAAATAACAGGAACTTCTAGTTTTAACCGACTTTTGAGCTACACAGGATATACTATTGAGATTAAAAAAAGTTTCATCCATTCTCACAAATAAAAGAAACTTATCAAGCTGAGATCTAAGTAATAAAAGTTCTTCACTATTGAAGTCCAAACGATAGAACTTGGCAAGACGTAGCAATTTTTTCTTATCAAAAGCTGCAAATAAATCTTTTGGACTTAAACATGAAATGCAAGTAAAGAGCTCAATAGTTGTTTCTGGAAATCGATCATTCAACTCTTGCAAGATCGAGTCTATCACATGACAATACAAATCAACATAAAAGCGATGAAAATAAGTCACTTGTTGAGCTACACACCTAGGTCGACCTTTCACTACTACAATATCCTCCATATTGGGCACTAAAATATGTCTATCAACACAAAACTCAATCACCCTACTGAACAAAGTATCACAACCATTCTCTCTCAAGTTCTGCAATGCATACTTACACAAATTCAATAACCTCATAGCATTCTGAATATCCTGATCCTTTTTCTGTAAGGCTTGTGAAATGTTGTCTGTAATTGCAAGAATTTCAAACATAAAGTGGAGACTGAACACAAATTCAAAATCTTGCATATTGTTCATCTGTCTTAAGGCCGAAGATTTTTGATCTGAATGTACGCCATCTTCTGATATATTCTCAATAACATCTATAATAGCATTAAACATATTAATGAAACAAGTAACTGTCAATAGATGTGAGCCCCACCTAGTATCACCTGGGCATGCCAAACTCATTTCTTGAAACTGATCACTTCCACCAATAAGTTCCCCAGTATTAAGCTTCTCCAGAATATTAGCTTGATAACTTGTTCTAAAAGCATTTACATGCTTACATGATGCACCAACCTAATTCACAATAATGGCAAGTACGTCCAAAAAATCACCAAGCATACAATTCCTACGTGCCACAAATACAATTGCCAATTGAAGCTGGTGAGCGAAGCAATGAACATACATAGCATGTGGGTTCTCTCTAAGAATTAAATGTTTCAACCCATTAAACTCACCCGACATATTACTTGCTCTATCATAGTCTTGACCTCTCAGGTTAGATATGCTCAACCCATGTGTAGAAAACATTGCATCAATGGCATCCTTTAGTGATTGTGCGCAAGTATCAGTGACATGGGACATACCCAAAAAACACTCATTCGCTTGCCCACTTTTATCAACAAACCTTAAAACAACTGCCATTTGTTCTTTCACAGAATTATCACGAGCCTTATCAACCAAAATTGAAAACAAAGAATCACCAATCTCATTGATAATAGCCCTTGTCGTTTCTACGGCACAACAATTAACCAAATCCTTTTGGATGGTTGGTGAAGTCATTTGGTCATTTCCAAGAGCATTACTAAATAATACTTTTTTAATTTCCTTACAATGAGCTGCATACCAATTCAGTAACTTAATTAGATTTCCTTTATTAAGAGATTCTTTGGATTCATCATGACCACGAAACGACAATCCTTGCATCAAGAGGAGTCTAGTACAATCTAGCACCACAGTCAACCTGGTCCTATAACTTTGTTGTTGACTACTATTTTCGTTAGAAACAACGTAAGAGATACTTTGCTTTTAATTCATCAAATTGGTACACTTTGCAAAAGCTTGATTATGAGAACTATCAAAGAGACCGACATGATCTTTCAATGTCTTTTTGTGCTTCCAATCTCTAAAGTCGGTCTTAATAAATATATGTCCACCCTTTGACCCCCTCTATCGTGTTTGAACAGGTAGCAATTCAAACAATACGCTGCATCCTTTTCTATACTGTATTCCAACTAATGAAATTCAGAGAATCATTCTTTCCAAAAACATCTATTATCATTCCCCATCGATTTTCTTGAAAAATCATGTCCATATGGTTGACAAGGACCCTTCTCCAAGTACGCCATCCTAACAGCATTTCTGATATTAGGATCATATGATTCGATAGGGGGGCGTATCCCTAGATCAGATACAAGATCATCCACATTAAATTGAGCCCGAGACTTTTTTGTGTTATTCAATAACTCTTGTGCTCGACTAGAATCAGTGGCGGGACTAGATGCACAACTAGAAGTAGAAGAATTGGGTATGGACTTTTCGTTTTGGTTGAAAAAATCATTCCATAATCTCCAAAATGTCATCCTAAATGTAAATTCACAAATCAATAATCATTCATAATATCCTATTTCCTCATCAAATTATAAATTACTTATCATAAATCATAAATCACAATTCGCAAATACAATTTCGTAAATATAAATTTCCAAATTAATAATCATAACCCATCACGATAAAACGTAAATTACTTATCATAATTCATAAATCACAATTCGCAAACATAAATTCCCAAATGAATAAATCATAACATAATTAATATTAAATTATTTAATGCTTAACAATCAACATCAACAACTCCAAGATAGAACAAAATCAAAACAAAATAGGCAAACTCATAGTGACAGTAGCCAATGGCCCAGTAATAAGGCCAAAACAAAATTGAACAAAATCAAAATAGCCAAACAAAATAGAACAACACCAAAACCAATAATAATAATAATAATAAAGAGGGAAAGAAGGAGTCACCAGTTTGAATGTCCGATGGAGTTCACTGTTCCGATCGGCGATTCAGGTTTGGGCGTTCGACACTCGACAGTCAGGAGTCGACACTTCGGCGTTCACTGTAGCCAGCGGGCAGCGGCGAATGCTTTAATGGAGTCTGCTGTTTATTCGATCTGCCGCCTAGAGTCTGGAGCTAGGTCGTGTGGTGTGAATCTGGAGAAAGAAGAAGTGAGGTTGAGGAAAAGGGTTTGGCAATTTGGGGGAAATTCACAATTCTTGCTTGCTGCCTGAGTGCTCGTCTGCTTGACGATTGAAATGGCCAAATGAAATGGGTAACGGGTTCAGGTTGAATACCATATTATATGTTGGATAAATTCATTTGGGCTAAATAATAATAGGCCCAAAATTTAATATTTACTGAAGCCCAGACCAAAAAAAAAAAAAACAAAAAAAAGGGGCCTTTCTCCAGTGATCGGCGACCGCTGCACTGATCAGGCCGTTCTACAAGACTGCAACTGCTGCAATCTTCCATTTCCTTACCTGGCGGCTCTGCAAGTTCCGGCAGAGCCACCACGCGTGACTGCGCCCCTCCTCAGGTGCTGGCTCCGCGCCTCTATGTAAGATGTCTTATTGAGATCTTGTACGTGTTTTGATATTTTAGCTGGAACAGAGCCCCAAACAGAATACGCTGTGTTTTCATAAATTACATGGAACCGAATGATTCAATTTGCAAAATACCCGAAGTTTAGAAGGTAGTTCCAAGACTTGAAATGCTCGAACTGGACCACTAGAAAACCTCTCCATTTGTATAGCGTACTCAATATGCCACTGAATTCTATATTAATTAGCAAATTTCCGAGTGCTCATCGTGATGTCAATGTGCATTCAATACCATAGAGTTCGCTTACACAACATTCGTGATTTTGTTATGTGTAGTTTCATCTTTCTTAGAGAAAAAATGAAAAAGAAAAAGAAAGTGGCATGTATTTTCTTATCAATAATACCCTTTTGACATATTTGGTTAAAGAAAGAGGGGAATGACTGTAATTTCTATTTGTTACAATTTATCATACTCGCAATTTAGCTCGACAAGTGCTTCGTTTTGATCTTGATAATAATCAAAACAATACAATAATATTTATTTTCAATATATATATATATATATATTTGTTAATACTCCATATCAACATCTATATTTTATAGAAGCATCGTCTTGTGTATACTTCGTAGTTTGACTAATTTTATAACAATCAAACTACTTGATAGATTATGGTATGGCAACTTGTGCTATGCTTTTTTTGGACTTCGAATATTTTGAATTATCCAGTACATCAGCAACCCACAAAATTGTTTACGTTTTCCATCCATATAAATCAAAGCTCAACATCAGAATTATAAGCAGAAAGTGGTACAAAATTGGTCCATTTTCTTATCCTAATTCCTTGATAAATTTTATGGCAAAATTCTTAGTATTATTATTGATCCTATCCTTACTGGGCCAAATCCAAATCCGACCAATAAAAATTATTAAATCATACTTTTCTATCCAAATCCAGTGGCTTTGGATGTCCACAACTACACAAAATCCAAAATTTCAAAACGGCTAAAAACTCCAAACAAAATATCTTGATTAAACGCTTATTTGATTTTAATTCTTTGAGAAATGGTACTTTGAAATGTGCATTTTTATGAATATGTAGTTAAAAAGTAATGGAAAGATCCGAGAAAACGTGAAAATGAAATTTTTTTTTTTTTTTTTTGAGATGCGTGGTTAAAAATGACTATGAAGGAGAAGTAATTTTCAAAGAATCAAAATCAAACAAGTGCTAATTTTAGAGCACTGGAGAGATCGAACATTAAAAAGATAACGATGACTTAAAATATAAATTAAACATATTTAAGGTATGCATTTTTTATTTTATTTTTTAACTTTTAAATAAAGGCATTATTCATTTCAAAAATATTTTTTATCTGACTAGTACAATGAATTAACTTTTTTCCCTTTTAATACCCCATTTGATTTTCACTTTTATCAAAATACATTTTCCTCTCTATTCTTTTTAACCACACATTTTTTGTTAAAATAATAATACACGTAAATAAAAAACTTTTCCTTATTTTTCATTCTCACATTCTCCATCAATCTACTATTTTAAAATTCATTTTTCCATTAAAATGGGTGTCAAACACCCTCTAAACTATTTACCAGTATAGCAAATATTAATTTTGGAATTTAGAGCACATCTCACTCGTGGGCACGAAGAGATTTTAACTTAAGTCAAAATCAATAATTAATTTCATTACATATTTAATAGGTTCTATAACTTTTCAATCATAAATTTCATTCATTTTTATAAAAAAATCAACTTACCATATATTTCATAGGATCTACAACTTTTCAATCACATATTTCATGAACTTTTATCAAAATCTACTTAATTCTAATTTTAATCTATATCAAACAGTGACATAAATTACATGTTTATTAGGCTAGAAGTCAATAGCTAGTACATAATGTTTTAGTTTTTAGTACTCGAGTTAGTTCGATGCTTACCCAACTTTTGTTGCCGATATAGTTTTGACAAATGTTATTGCCTCTTTTGTGTGGATAAAATGTGTGTTTAAAAAATTGTGGATCCTATGAAATATTTGATTAAAATTAATTGTTAATTTTGACTTTGATTTTGACTTTGAGGACATTAAATCGACCTAGCCAATTAGGGATCCAACCTGACAACTTTACAAAGTTTTGCGAGTTGTGTTTGAAAACTGAATTGACGCCTTTTTAAAAATAAAATCTCCTCGAATTGAAAATTCTTTGGCTCGAATGATTAAGGCTAGTAATAAACCACTACCACCATCATAGCCATAAACAACAACCATCGATCCACCACCACAACCATCGGTCCACCACAACAGCCATAAATCACGGGCACCACTAAACACCCCAAAAGCACAGCCACCACCACAACAGTTGGTGAGAATGATTGAGACGGAGCCATATAAGTGAGGAAATGTGAAGTGAGACAGGGGTAGAGGTGGTTGGTGGCGAGAGAGACTAGATGGTGGCAAGGAGGCTGAGTGGGGATGGGCAAATAGGGTTTCTTCTTTAGTTCTTCACTTGATCATGCATTTTTATTTTAGAAAATTACGATTGGATGATTTGGGATTAGGTTTTGAATTTTGTTTTTTCTTATTTGTCACCTGCTGAAATTTTTAATTTTAAAGTAAAAAAAGAAGAAGGAATTTTAAGAGATAAATTGCAGGTTGAATAATCACGAGTTGATTGATCAATTTTGTCCATCGAGCCGCCTTCTCAATGGGTTGGCAAAAATCGACCTTGCCCGCCTAATTGCTAAACTTCAATCCGAGTTGAGTTGAATCAAATCGATTAGGTTGTTAGTGCCAATAATTTGCTCAGCGCCACAACCTACCAACTCCAAAGAATAAGTTTGCTTATAAGTAAACTTCCTTATAAATAAATTATTTATTAATCTTAGCCAAACATGTTCTTAAGTGTACATGCTCCCAAAACACAGTCACACAGTTTCCCTCCCTGAACTCTCGCTCCTCCCAAAAACACACACAGAGTACGTGATAATGGAGAAGGACTCGACAAAAGATGAGAATTCAAACAACAGCGAGTCACAAATGGAGGGGCAATGGGGTCTATACGAGGCGTACAATGAGCTGCACGGGTTGGCGCAGGAGTTCGAGACACCGTTCGAAAAATTTGTTTTTTTTTTTTTTTTGGGGGGGGGGGGGGTTAATTATGAACATGT